AAAATGGGGAGAAAATAACCTTTACAAATTCTAGTACTCTATTGTTCGTCACAAAGTTTGACTTGACAGTCGTATATAAATACAAAATAGGTGAAAAAAATCCTAGATATCAACTCGCTACATATTTACATAATATGCAGATATGTACATAACAACGTGACATTGTTATTTACCAAGTTGATGATTGAATTAGTTAGCCATTCATGATGATGAATGATTCATCTCGATAGAAAAGTAGATACGTAAGTAGCTCTTTGAGAAATATGGGATTCATTACTTACAAAGCAAAGCCAGCTTATCCACAAAGATCTCATCTGTGTACATAACATGTGTATCGTATCGTATCGTAACTTGCACAATCGTCTCCTAATAAAATCATCCACTATTTTACTGACCATGCATCTCTCCGTTACATAACATCACATCACACGTACATACGGCGTAGTTTAGTTTAGTTAAGAATTGAATGCCTGCATTTTATTTGTGCTTCATGCATCGTGATCCATGCAAGAGGGAGAGATTTTCGTTCTTTTTTTTCTTCTTCTACAATAACCAACCACTTGTATGTGAATCCGTGAAGCTCGCATGCATTCTCAGTAAAGGGAAATAGTAAGTTATGAATTATGGGGAAATTTGATGGAGACAATCAAGATGGAAATAGTAATAAGGCATGGATGTAATGTAATGTAACGCCTTTTCCTTGGGTAGGACAAGGCCCTCGGAATTATGTATGGGGGACGATGAGTAGGATGATGGGGCGGAAGTTGGGGGGGGGATATTAGCATTGTGGGGATAGGAGGAGGAGGATGAAGGACTTAGTAACATGGATAAGATATGAATTTGTGGGGGGGGCAATGTCCCCCGGGCTTCTGACGCCAATGGGGATGATAAGAGGGCAAGGATTTCTACCCTGTCCCCCAGGGTCGTGGTGCTATCTTGCTTTTTCCTGATAGCTATGTGTCACAGGAGACTTGGAACCCTGGGGGACGATATTCTGCTCTATCGTGTCATTATTGTCCCCCAGGGTCATCTGTCCTGCGCGGCCCCTGATTTTTTTAGGGTAGAGATTCGTCTCTCTCTCTTTAAATGAAATGAAAATTGTTCCTTTCTTTAAGAAATTAATGTCGCATTCTTTCTTTCCTTTCAACAGTTTGGTTTTGTACTTGAAAGCCTCACGTCGTGACTGTTTTAAATAACTGGCTCTCTCTATGCAGTGAATTTTAATAGGGGCGCGCGCTGTGATACCTTTGGGCGTGTGCCTTTCTTTCTTTAGTTATTTTAAGATTATAAGCTCGAATCTCTAAATATGCATTGTTATTTATTTTATTATGCAATAGGAAAAATATTCTCGAGGAAACAAAGAAGAGCTTTGGAAATAATGACCACGTGAAGTGGACAATTTACTACAAGTTAGTGGCCTTTTTTAGAGGGAGGAAATATTCCGTATTATTCAAAATGTTGCTTATATACTCTTAGAAAACTGGTATTAAATCATTACCGCCCGGAGTACATGTGTGCCTCTACCAGCACTGGTATTAACGGAAATTACCGTTCAGTAATGAAAAGTTTACCACTCAAGACCAATTTATTACCAATCCAGTAGGAAATTATTTGCTTATACTCTTAGAAAACTGGTATTAAATCATTACCGCCCGGAGTACATGTGTGACTCTGCCGGCACTGGTATTAACGGGAATTACCCTTCAGTAATGTTATGATAATGAAAAATTTTTACCACTCAGGAACAATTTACTACAAATTTGGTAGGAAATTATTACCAAATCAGTACCAGAACGGAGTAGATATGTGTGACTCTACCAGAGTTTTAACAGTGTACATACATATTTTACTATTTAAGATCTTTTATTTCTGAGAATTCTGCTAGTTGACAAGACCAGAAGCTACACATACAAATTAGTGGGCTTTTTAGAGGGAGAAAATATAATATTCAGCCAGCAGAAATCATGTTGCCATTTATTTATGTATTTGAGTCCTTTGTTCATTTCGTGAATATAAAAAAAGGGGTGCGAGAAGAGATGTGATGCAACAAGTTTAGCTCAGTTTTTCGGTCTCATCTCATCATTTGGGGAGAGAGATTACGTGAATTTTTATATTATTATTTATGTTTTAGGGAACAGTTGTTAGATTGCATTGCATTGCATCACAGAACTTGTTTGCAAAGTAAGTAAGTCCGAAGAAGAAGAAGAAAACAAAGCATTTGGCATCCGTCTGTTGTCTGTTTCTTATCATAATCTGCACCAGCAGAAGCCGTAGCAGATGCCATACCACGCCACCGATGCCAGGCGTTCTTTTTCTTGGCCAAACTCGGGCGGTCGTCTGTTCTTTCTTTCTTTCTGAAAATGAGATCGCTGAACATGTGACGACTTGGTTTCGAGGATAGCGTTGATCTGATGTGATCTTTCTTTTAGTCGGGCAGGGCAGCAGGCGGAGGAGCATAAGTAAAAGGTCGAGAGATTATCATGTATGTATGTAGTAAATAGTGGTGGTGGTGGTGGTGGTGGTGGTGTGATGTCATCTGCAGCTGCTGCCACGCGACCCCAGAACACTTGAGCACCCGGCGTTTGAATGAGTTTAGTAGCGTCGAAGGGTGGGTGGATGGATGGATGGAGGATTGAATGAATTTTGATGGTGGTGTCCCTTTGAAAAAGTCCCAATGGAAAACAGACTTGGTATATAGACACGAGTTTCATTAATCCCACAAACAGCAGCAGCAGGGTTTTAAATAAAAGCTGGCTGGCTGGATGGATCACTTGGGACAAGAGAGAGGTCAATCCGATGCATAATGCGAGCGTTCACTTATTACTTACTTTGTCTATGTATGAATTGAATGCATGTACTTGGCCTTGTCTTTTTTACGCAGTTTTAAGGTGCGGGTGAGTCCTTTAAGGAAAGCAAAGTTGGGTCAGATTTTGAGGAAAAGTTCGTTATGGAAAAAAAGGTTCAAAATCATGCAAGTATAAGCGTGCCACCCAAAAAGTTAAGCGTGGCGTGCTGTTTAACATGCAAAAAGTTGGAGATGTGGCATTATTTTACTAAAAAATGGGGACGATGTAACATAATTTTGATAAAAATCTATGTATGCATGTACATATTGGAATTATCTACACTACATGAAAAGCTGGGGAGGAAGAAGATAAGCGAAAAATGGTGACGATGTATGTAGCATACTTTTTCTTATCTAAATATGTATGTACCTATTTAATTGGAGTTGTTGGACTTATGTACGTGAAAAGAAAAGCTGGGCAAGAAGAAGACGAAGATAAGCGTGCGTGTATATTTCTTTAATTAACATCTTGAAGATGTTTTTTTTCTCTTCTTGGAGATGGTTAATTTAGGTTTTCATCTGCCACGTGCCATGTGCCCCTGGTAAAGTAAGGGTCCTCCTAAAGGTTTCTAAATAAGGGCAGCTTGAAAGTTGTTGTTGGGATTTGGGAACGACCATATTTCAAAGGAAGTCGTACATATAGCCGACATAACCCTGCTGCTGGTCTTTGTGCGTATAGATATTCCTCCACTTTCCACCTTTTGTTATGACCTGCGAGTGAGTGAGCTTTCGTATTTAGATTTGAGATCTGAGAACGAAGGGTCGACTACTTCCTTTTCCTTTCGACCGAATATCATGAACGGTTCTTTTCCAAGGGAAAGAATACGAACGAACGCGTGTTTTCATTTTTCATTCATTGTCGTGGTCCTCGTCCTCGTCGTCATCTGGACTGGACCTTTGCGTTTTAAATGGAGAAGAAGAGAGAGATGCGATGGTATGGTGGTGGTGGTGATGATCCCTTAAAGTGCATATGGTTGGTTCTCATGTATTTTAGTATTTTAAAAGGAAAGGACACAGTTGAGGCAAGGTGGGGACCCTTTCTGTCTTTCTTTGATTTAAAGTTTAAAGGTAGGACTTTACTTTGTGTTGTGTTGAGCCTGCTGCTGCTGCTGCACTTTGATAAGTGTCTGACTGAATGGCAGCTGGGTTTAGGTGTACATGTGAAAACGGGAGGTAAATAAGGATGAACTCGGTATATTTACAAGTACTACTACCCTCCTGGTTTTATTCTTCGATCGGTTCGTATATTTATGTACAGTGAGTGAGGTGAGGTGAGGTGAGGTTGCAATGTTTGGCGTACATAGTGGCATGTAACTTATGAAAAAATCGACACGTAAATATTGTCGGGAATTGAATGTATGTATGAAAATTGGCATGTTTTTAGTAAGCATAAGTTTCTACATTGTATTTACAACCCTCCCGATTTTTACATGTTTACCACTCTCGGTCAGTTGGTGTAGTGCGTTTGGCGTGTCGGTGGTGGTGGTAAATCTGTGAAAAATCGTTACTGTTATCGGAAATTGGCACGTTTTAGCATAAGTTTGTACATAATTTCGACATCTGCAGCGTGTCGACAAATGTATGTACATAATTGAGATAGATGAATGAGATGCTGCTGCGTTTGGTTGGCCACGCGGACGGACGGATGCACTTTGGCGTAATTGCCTGCCGCAGATTTGTTTTCGCACCTCTTCTCTTCCTTCATACATAAATTGAGGAGGGTGACATTTATTCAGAAAATTTGCAGGAGTAAGTTTAATTTTCTTCTTGTCTTGGTAGTGGTGGTGGTGGAGATAGGTCATTAAAATCCATACATAATTATGATTCGAGAATGAGCCTCTTTTTACTGGATGTATGAGAGGAAACAGGAAAGTGCAGCGATGGATGGAGGAATATCTGCTTTTTTGAAGGGTGGCTTGCTTCTTCTTGTGCGGCAGATGTTTCGCCGTGTTCCGCAACGGCCACGCGCTACCAGTTACCCTCTGCCTTCAATATATGGTACGAATACGAGTCCCTCAAAAAATGAGAGAGAAGCTAAGCTAGCAACGCTGCAAAAAAGACGGCAGGATAACCGCTCTCTAGTTTCTCAGTCGTGGTTTGGTTAGGTTTCCAGATCCATGAGAATATATTGTTACGACGGTGCTCACTGTTGCCTCAGTCGTCTCAAAACCGTGGAGCGAGAGAGAGAATCATTGTCGTCGAAGGCGTCGTCGTTGTGGGTCTTCTTCTAAACCACAAAGCTGCTATTGTTACTGCTCTAAGAATTGTTGGTGGCCAGTGACTGCAAATTCTGTTTCTTTTTTTTGCGTGTGTGTTTTGTGCAAAATTGTGGTGGAAATGATTGTGTGGATTGGATTGTACGATTAAGAATACGTCAGTATTTGTGGGGTTGTTCTATTTAAGTTGTTGTCTTTTTGGCGTGGCTTTAAGACGTCTAATTAACATATTTATATTACGTGCAATTTAAATATTACGCAGCAGTGTTAAGTTTTACATGGCGTTGCCTGGATTATATTAAGAATATTTTTGCACGTGCAATTAATTCCGCAGTGTTTTATTTAGTTAATTAATTCATGGGGTTATACACTTCTGAGTCTTACATGGCCTCAAATTATTCCTCCTCTTACATAACCCATCCTTTAAAGTCGAATTGTTCACCATCGTACGGCTCGATCGGGAACAACATGGGGGTTTTGGTGACCGGTCCGTGGCCCATGAGCCAACAGACCTCCTCCGCCTCCTACGCCACGTTAAATTCAAAGGGGTCGTCATCAACGTACGAAAGTTCTTGTCGACAACGGAGGGCATCTTATCATCAGGGTCACAACCACCTCCGCCCGATTTCGATGCCGACCTCCTCGTCGTCAAATCGGGACTCGACTTGTTGTCGGTACGAGTCCGCAATAGAAATGGTGCCGTTGAACATTAACGCTGGAGGGGTGGTGGTGCCTTGTCGAAACGGTGGTGCGGGGGACGGGGGGATGATGATGATGTCGAACCCGACGTCACCCCCGACTTGTGTCCCTTGGCTTAAGAAGATGAAAGTGATTAAGAAAATCCAGCGGAAAATTGGGATCGGTGGGTTATTGTTTTTGAGTTTTTATATAACCGCAAAATTTCCTGTTATATATTTATGCTCATTATTTTTTGGGAAATGTTTATGGGAAATGTTACGTTGCGTTTTCCCAGTTGTGTCGTTTTGTTACTGCTTTTGGTCTGGTTGGTTAGTGCTGGTAATTGAGCGTGGAGTTGGAAAATGCTCCCCTATGGATGGATGGATGGTCGTCGGTTTGATCAATCCGTGTGTGCACACAAATGTAAAAGGGTGGGTGAAGAAGAGTTAGTAGTGTGATGTTTTGTGGGGATGGATGGTTTAATGGATATATGGACTTTGAAAGAAGTCGATATTACTTTTAGTTTACTGGGCGCTTGGAAATTGGGAGTAATTGATGTCTCCTCGTGGAGGATGAAGAGATTTAATTCATTTTCATTTCATTGAGGAGGATGGAACTTGAAGCTAGTCACCAAGTTTGTCTTTGGAGTGGCAAAGCGTGGATAATGTGGTCAAAGTTTAATACATACATTACTCTCTGAAATAATAATTGAGATGGGGGCAATAATTGAGAATGAGTAGTGACATATAGGGTCAGTTGTCACACCCGAAGCCGGGGGGTTGGTTATTTATGTATGGGGGGGGCTAGTATTTTTAAGAAAAGGCTTATCTTTTATACACATCTATGTATGTATGCATCTAGTATTTCATTAATATAGACACATTGTGCGTGTCTTTTTGTGAGTTTTTGGTCCCATTTGTCCAGATTTTTATTTACTGGGTTAATCATTGACTGGGTTAATCAATCATTTACTGGATTTTAGAATTGCTTACAAATAATGGTACAAATAATGTTTATATCATTTTTTGTCATAGAATTAAAACTGATTAACACTTGAATAAATCAGAACCAAATTATTGGAGTTAGATGGTAGTTTCTGGAAAATGGTTAATTTTTGACGTACTTATTTATCTCTATGTGATACCTAATGTACACACTTTGCCCGTTTTTGGTCCATTTGTCCCGATTTTTATCCTTATTATGGACTTTAAAACGTACACATTAATGAATCCCTATGTGAATTACTTTATGGGAAGCAAATCCAATCAAACCCGACCCGACTGCTTTTTAATACCTACATAAATGTTTATATGTACCTATAGAAAAACAAGTTTTGAGACTTTCTTCATGGATGAGCAACTCGTGTCTTGCTGGTTCTTGGTAGTAAGTAAGCAGTGGTAGATTTATTTATCCATTAGAAATACACCTAAAGCCTCTCGTTCGTTCATAAATAAGTGAGCCCCGGACTTTTAGGTTGGAAGAAGGCGACGAGGACGAAGTGAGCTCCTGAGTCACAGGAAAAGGAAGTGAGGATGTGCTTGCTGTTGGGGTTGGGTGGCTTTTTTGCCCTCTTTTTCTTCTTTCTTACAATCATTCCATCCGTTGTGGCTGGCTCTCTTCATGATGACGGGAACATCCGCACTGGCTTCATCGCAGGGGCCGCGGAACGTGTGCATGAAGATGGGACATGTGGGGACGTTAAGATTGTAGGATGATGGGGGAAGGACGGGTTTTGTATAAGATGATGCGGGTGGGGACAGAGGGGCCCTTCCGCGGGCACTGGTGCTAAGAGAGTTTATTTTAGTTGAATGTATGTAGTTTTAGTTGGTCGTATTATGTATTTTATATTTATGGCATAACCAGATTTTAAAATTGAGCCTGAAATGCCATTTCCTTTCTAAAGTCGTCAAGTGGAAGTGGACGTGTCGTTGTTTGATGTTCTCCAGCAGCAGCACGACTTTTGGAATAGTGATGACTTTTTAAGAGGTGGTTTTTGGATGATGATGGATTTCAATTTACATTTTTTCCAGCAGTAAAAAAAAATATAATAGTTTGTGGTTAAATTGACGGAGAAATTTTCTTTTTAAAAGACGTTTTGTCGTGGAGGAGGATAATTGGTTATGGAAAATGGTGTCATTTTTTAGAGGAAAATGTGTCTTTTAAAGGGCTGCACTTTTAAAAATTTATATATGTTTCCATTTATGTTTCCGGCCGTACAAATTTCCATAAATTTATTGAACATTGAGCACATTTTGTTCGGAATGACAACTGAAAATATGACTTTTAAAGAGAGCTACATTTTTAAAATTTATATTTCCAGCAGTACAAATTTCCTTAAACTGATTGGTATGCAAATATGGAGCACATTAGAGCAACAATTGAAATGGAAAATGTTGTCACTTTCTTCCCTGTAGATATGCTTATTGTCTGAGAATTTCATTTCATACGAAACGATTAGTTGCGTCTGTCCTTCGACTTCCTCGTTGACAGTCTCGTCTTAATTAGCATTCTACGAAATGGTATCGTTTTTATTATCCTAGTTTTCTTGGTCACTTGACAAACAAAACGGAGGTCATGTCATGTCTGGGATTTCATTCATTCATTCATTCATTAACTGACTTTCATACGTGTACAAAATGCCCTTCTTTAACTGGTGTCTCTTTAAAATTGCAGGTTTACGGAGTGGCGGGATGTCGCCGAACAACATGCCGCCCCTCCTCTTCAACAACGTGCATGGGGAAAACGTCTCCATCTCCGGAAACGGTTTCGTCGCCCGGCGGACAAACAGTTTCTGCAAGGCGATCGCATTTTCAGACCGGCCCGTTAAAGTTGCAGAGAAGGTGAGGATTTAAGTAAAAGAGAATACTTTGTCGAAATGTAGAATGAGGTAGATAATTCACGCAGGGTTTTGGTAACTTTGTAAAATCTGTAAACTTACAAATATTTCTGAGGAACATTAGCTTCCACATTTTTGTAAACTTGTTCAGATCACGGGCGTCTCTTTATTGCGTAAAAGTTTGTAATATTATGGTACCAAAGGCACGTTTTATGTACAAAGTTACGAATGACTGTGTGAATTGCGATAGTAATTTGAGCTTCCTTTCTTCTTGTTAAGGTTTGGTTTTATCGGTGTCAAGTAAAATACTGTATTTCTTTAAATCGTGTAGAAAACAGTGTATCTTGAAAGTTAATTCCTTAACAAAAAACACGTGTTTTCGACTGAGCTGCCGTAGATTTTCGTCTTTTTGTAGCTAAAATTCAAACCCTGGAAAGAACAGGGGTCAAAACATTATACATTTTGATGAAGTATTTTTTCCGATACTAAAATGGTGACAGGTTTGCTAATATATTGTTTTTTTTCTATTTTTAAAGGTGTGCATCAAGTTCGTTGAAGTTTCTACGAATTGGAACGGCGTTTTAAGAATTGGGTTCACTTCTCATGATCCATCCTCGTTGCGATCCGGCCTTCCGAAATATGTTTGTCCCGGTAATTAGAATGTTTTCTTAAGGATGGATGTATGTAAATGAAGGAGTGAATTTATGTAAATTTTGTTATCTGCAGACTTAACATCCCGACCCGGCTTTTGGGCGAAAGCTTTCAGCGACTTTTTCGTGAAGAAGGATTCCGTTCTCTTCTACTACACCACGTCCGCGGGCGATGTCCACTTTGGGATTAATGGGGAGGAGAAAGGCGTCTTTTTTACGGGCGTGGATACCCGCGGACCTCTCTGGGCCATGCTAGATATTTATGGAAACACGACCTGTGTCGAATTCGTGGGTATGTTGATTAATTTTAGAAACTTCTGTTAGACTCATCGGAAAAAGGAGCACATTTTTAATCATTTGTACGCTCTGGGAACTTATTTTTAAATTCTGGAAGATGAATTTGTGGAGGAGGGAGTTACCAGTTTTTGGAAAATGTACACTACAGATTTTAAGACGTTTTGAAGGAGGAGATCTCAAGGTTAAGAAGCCTTCAGAAATATTGGAACTCGTCGAAACTGGCGTAAAAAACTCAGCGGCATTCAATTAATCAACTCACTGAGGACAAATTTGTCGTTCAGAATTTTAAAATTAGTTCCCAGAGGGGAGAAATTATTAAAAATGTGCTCCTTTTGACGATGAGGCTTCATATTTGTTATTAAAGAGGAATTATTAATGATAAATTTTGATTTATTTATCAGATCCCCGAGCTCATCTAAATAACTCGCGTCGCTGCGTGAACGATTTAGCCACTTCTAGTCGAGATGAAATTGAATCGAGTATGTGTGACATTGTGCCGGCCATGAATGGATTAAAGCTTATCGAATCGTCCATGCCGGAGGTGCCATGTTTTCCAAATGTTGACATTGAAGAACTGAATTTCCACAGGTAAGATCTTATCTAATGAATAAGACGGAGGCTTTGGTAACTTTGTAAAATAAAATTACGTGAATTCCGTAAAACTTTTACTAAAATTTTAGTCATATTTCGAACGAAAATTAGATTCAAAATTTGTATAAACTTGTAAATTCAGATTAGAGGGTGTCTTTATTTCGTAAAAATTTATAAAATTATGGTACAAAAAGCGCAGATTTTGCAAAGTTACCAAGTACTGAGTGAATTGTTTGAGTAGTTAACTTATTATTTTTGGATATAATTATTCATTTTTTTGTAATTTACAAAGTTTACAACTTTTGTCTTCTTATTTGTATGAACAGAGTTCGTGGAAAGAACGTAATGCACACGGCCGACTCCTTGCCAAGTATTGCTCTGCGACGCCCGAGCGAGTACTGCAACGCTTATGTGTTCACTGCCAGACCAATTATGCCAGACGAGACCATTTTAATACAGGTATGCGATACGATAACCACTAATTAATACTTATCAATTATAAAAATAGTTAATTATTAATTATTTTCAAACTTGTTTAGATTTTACATAAAGAGTTAGAGTTCTCGTCCTCGATGGCCTTCGGTCTGACGGCGTGTAACCCGCAATCCGTCTACAGTGACAGCCTCCCCGAAGACTCGCACCTTTTACTCGACCGACCAGAATACTGGGTCGTGAAAAAGGACATTGCCAACAACCCCGTGGCAAAAGATATCCTCGCTTTCACTCTGAGTGCTACTGGTAAGTTGGATAACGTACGACTTATCAGCAGTAAAATCGTAAAATCAGCCCATCATTTCTCCGCTGTGGGAACTTATTTTAAAATTCTAGAGGACAAATTTGTAGAGCACTTTTTTTTAACAAATATGCACTCCAGATTTTGACATTTTTTGAAGGAAGAGATCTCAAGTTTAAGAAACCTTCAGAAAAATTGGAACTGGGTAAAAAAAACTCGACGCCATTCCATTAATCAACCCACTGAGGACAAATTTGTCGTTCAGAAATTTAAAATAAATTCCCAGAGGAAAGAAATGATTAAAAATGTGCTGATTTTGGCGATGAGTTATAGATCATGTTTAATTAATTACGCATTAAATTTAACTCCTGTGATTACTTATTATTTTAGGCGAAGTAACCATGTCGGTGAACGGTGGGCCGGCCGTGTTTCAAATGCATGTCGACAATTCCGTCCCACTCTGGGCGTTTTTCGACTTGTACGGCACGACGGACCGGATACGTTGTATTGGTTCGATAAAACGCAACAATGCTCAACCCCCACGAGGTAAATACTTACTATTTTAATTTGATTACTTAATTACTAATTACTTAATTCGTATCGTTTAATCAGGTGTTCAATTAACGCTAGGTGTTCAACTGAGACGAAATAAGGAGTCGTCGTCGTCATCGTCGTCCCTCGGGATGCGAGCTTCTTCAAACAAATGTGCTTCAACGAGTAACAATAGTCAAATCTCGGCCTCCAACAACTTTCCATCCCCACTTCCGTCGACATCCGCATCCACGCTGTTCGCAACCCGGGAGTACTTTGAGCTCTCCCAGTCGCCAAATTCTATGAAGACTTCGACCGCGCTGAATAGAACGTATAGTGTAAGTCGGAAATTACAATGGAGGAGGCGGGGAGTGCGATCTGATTTTGGGGAAATTATTTAGTGTGAATCGATGACAAATTTAGTTTGGATGAAATTTGTGAAAGACACCATCTCCCAATGGGCACGTTTGGCCGAGATATTTGCATCCGAAGAGGAGATAAATCGACAAATTTTACACTTTCCAAATTTACTGCGTGTTTTCTCCTCTTTCGGGATGCAAATATATCTCTACGAACCGTGCCCATTGGGAGATCGCGTCTTCCGCTAATTTCATATTTAATTTGTCCTCGATTGAGACTAGTTTAAGCCTCAAAATCGGAGAGCATACGTTGCAACCCGTCCATTTTGAGTATTAAGGTGTACCTAATTCTGTCTAAATTTAGGTCTACGAGTCTCTCACTTCGGGTTCTCAATCACTGAAAGAAATGTCCAACTACTCGGTGGAGTGCGTCGCCTGTTGCGAGCGTCCCGTGGACAGCGTCTTCTACTCGTGCGGACATATGTGCATGTGCTATAATTGTGCTGTGGAGTACTGGAAGAGTAAGGAAAAGGGGTGTTGTCCCATCTGCCGCGCCACCATTTCAGACGTCATCCGAACGTACAAATCCTAACCAACCAGCAACCCAACCCACCCACCCGATAAACACTTATCTTTATACATATTTACCTTATCTACATACATGAAAACCACAATCGCAATCCTTCATGTATTATTATTACTATTATAATTTTGATGAATTTACATAGCGTAAAAGAAGAAAGAGTGAAATGTTTGTAATCCTGTAAAGCTAGATTTTACAAAGTATGTAACCTAGGCTTATCCCGAAATCGTAAAGATAAGCACATTTTTAATAATTGTTTAGCCTGGGAACTTATTGTAAATTTCTGGACGATAAATTTGTAGTCGGTGAGATGATTAAAGGAATGGCGTTGAGTTTTTTTGAGCCAGTTCCAATTTTTCTGAAGGTTTATTAAGCTTGAGATCTTCTCCGCCAAAAAAAGTGTCAAAATCTGGGGGTAGATATTTTCAAAAAGTTGGGAACGACCAAATTTGTTCGGTCAGAATTTTATAATAAGTTCCCAGAGCGGAGAAATGATTAAAAATGTGTGACTTTTGACGATCAGGTATAAGGAAATTATCGTCGTCTTGTTTTAGACTTTCCAAATCCATATCATCATCACAAAACACGAGCAGCTATAGATAAGTACATACATATTTAAATACTGAAAATACCTTGTTGTTTGTTGTCCCCTGCTTTTGTAAGTACATATATGCAAATTAAAAAGCCAAAAAATTTGCATGAATTCCGCCACATGACCAATAAATATGCCAATAAGTATGTGTAATTTGGTGCAGCTATCTACGTACGTACGTAAAAATCTTCGTGAATTAATAAACGCTCTCTTACCTCGAAATAATGAGAAAAGAAAAGTAAATTTTTCCCGTGTCAATCACACCGTTAATTTGTCGTCATCATCATAAAATCATTATGATTTCTGAGATAGATTTCCAGGCCACTTATTGGATTTCCAGTCCAGCAACTTGTTGACTTGACTTTGTCTGAAAAATGTCTCAGTCTTTTACTCTATTTTTTCTTTCGGGGATGTAATGAAATCCGGGCAACTTGGGGGGCAGGGTTTCGGGTGGGAGGGAGTACGTAAGACCACTTGGGAGAAAGTGGTTTCTTGCAGGGGAATATTTTGGCCTGGGAGAAATGCACGGTGGGAGAAACTACACCCTGCCGCGGTAAATACGGCATACGGTGCGTGGCTGGATGGCGCACATTTCATGCATTTTCTCCCAGTTTCTTGCATCTCGCATTTCTTACGTTTCCTGGTTTCCAGTGCAAGAAACTGTTTCTACCAGCTATTTTGACCTGAAAAATGCACGTGGCTAGATGACGCATATTTATTACACTTTCTCCCAGTTTCTTGCACCTCGTATTTCTTGCAGTTGCTACTTTCCTCTGCAAGAAATGTGTCATTTAGGAAAAAGGAAACACTGCTTGAGATGTACATACGTAGCTCCGCGGAGAAAATAATAAGTCACGCAACACCTCCATCCGAATCGGAGGAGGAGAGGAGAGGCTTAAGTAATGCAAAAGACACACTTGTATCAAGCGACACTTTACCTTATTTGAGAAGATCTTTCGGAACATCCAGTGGGCTCAAATAACTCGCAATTTGGCCCGTCCTCCGCTCTCACAAAGGGGAAAATTGATCGATTTAATCTCCGCCGTCGTCATCTCCTCCTCCTCCTTTATTCCGAACAGGGCCCGCGGAAGGGTGTGTGGGGACAGAGGGACAATGTCCTCACGCTTGTTCCATGTCGATATGCATATTGCATAGTCAGCTCCACATCTTATGTAATAAACCCGGCCTTTCCTATCCTACAATGTTAATGTCCCCAGATGCCCCCCGCGGCCACTGAATCCTCCCCCTTCTTTTAGCAAAGTCCTCTTCCCAGTGGCCGCGGAAGGTTGAGGGGCAATGTCCCCAGATGCTTGTTCCATGTCGGCATCATCGTAACCAGAAACCCGTCCCTCTCCCTATTTTACAATGTTAACGTCCCCACGGCTTCCGCGGCCACTGAATCCTCCCAATTCTTGTAGCAAAGTCCTCTTCCCAGTGGCCGCGGAAGGTTAAAGTCCCCACGCTGCTTCGATGTCGACACCATCTCCCCATCTTCTTACATAATAAACCCGGCCCCCATCCCCCCTAAAACGCCCCCCATGTCCCACCCACCTTCCGCCGTCCCTGATTCCAAACCTTATTATTGATGTTGTTCTTGTTCTTGCCCCGCAAACACACATTCACCAACACGAAACGACGGCTTTTATACTCTTTTGACTGATCTGCAGAATTCAATCTTGTCGATTTAATTCGCTTTGTGCCAATGTTTCGGGACAAAAGTGAGTGAGGAACGAGGAGAGAACATAACATGAACATGCAAATTGGACCAAAATAAGAACAATACAAGAACAAGAAGACAATCATATTAATCCTGTCGTTTTCTAGGCCCCGACGGAATCTGGGTGAGATTTGGAAGGTGAAATTGGCTTCATTACCTAAGCGTTGGATGAGATCGAGGTAATAAATAGAGCAGTAGTGACGTATGTAGTTAATAATCTGAAATCTGCTCAGGTGAGACGTAGATAAATACTTATTATTAAAAGACGGGGGAAACTTTTATGTAAATTTGCAATGGCTGCGGAGAGAAAGGTGCGTGGTGTGCCGGCCACGTGGAAATGTATGAAAGTAAAGAAATTGATTAATTTCGTGGAAGAGAGAGATTGACCCCTTAAGGAACATTAGTGGGAGTGAAGAAATTATAGTGGGTTCAATGTTTCCGGGGGAGAAAAATATGGAAATTTCATATCATTGCAGTCCTGTCAAACTACTTTCGGGGTAAAATTAGCACGTCAAGGGACATTAATCCTGTGCTTCGGGTGGAAGTGACCCGCAAGAAGAAACTAAAAAAAACTGGAAATTTAATGTTTCCAGGAGAAATATATAGAAATTTTATAGCTTTGCAAACTTTCCGGGGTGATATTAGCCGAAATTTAATATTTCTAAAATACATAATAAACCCGAGAATTTGCGAAATTAGTGCGTTAACTAGTGTTATCCCCGAAAGTTTGATAAGATATGAAACTTTCGTGTTATCCTGTTTTTTGGGAGGATAACATGAAAATTTCATAATCTTATCAAACTTTCGGGGATAACACTACCTCGTATTTACTTAAAGGAGACCTTAATTTCGAGTGAAATTCAATGTTCCCAAAGAAATACTAAATAAAAAAAGGAGAATTATCCCATCCTATCCTTTAAAAAAATGGGTCCCCTTCATTCCGCCGGCATTGTTACCTGGCTGTCAAAGAAGACAAAGACCCAGGAGCTATCACGATATGATTATTGCTCACTTTCTTTGTTAGAAACTTATTCCTCAAAGAATGCCTGGCCGGATTGGATGAGAAAGTGGTTTAATTTCGGAGTGGATGGAGTTCTGAGTCTTGTTGAGGATTATGCATATTTATGTATGTCGCTTTACTTAAAGTCGAACATGACTTAATTTAAATTTTGGATGGGAGCAGATTTCACCATGTAATCTTAATCCCGGAGGAGTCGTCGTGCATGTACATGCGATGTGTAGTTGAGAGATGATATCCGATCTCGCGAGCGCGCTAGGACATGTAATGTACCAAATGTGGGGACTGAACGGCAAGGACGGCGGAACAAGGTCCCCCCTACAGAGAAAGCTTTGTGGTGGTGGTGGTGGTCAAAATAATACTCATGTAGGGCTTGATAACTTTGTAAAATGCGTAAAGTTTATAAACTTTAAAAAAAATTTAGTCATATCTCGAAAGAAAATTAGATTATAAACTTTTGTAAACATACTCAGATCAATCAAGGGCGTCTCCTTATCAGACCTGTTCACATTCATGAATTTAACATTGGTGAATATAGGAATGAATATTCATTCACAACGTTAAATTCATGAATGTGAACACCTCTGCTCCTTATATAGTAGATATTTTGTAAAATTACGCTACAAAAGGCACGGACTTTACCAAGTTATAAATGATTATTAGCCCATATCCACTGATTATTCTATAGTATGTGTATTAGCCTATCCACCCGCTTGATCAAGGGCGTCTCTTTATATATTTTGTAAAATTACGCTACAAAAGACTTTACAAAGTTAGTAGTAATGATTACTCTACTGTATTAGACAACACACCCGTTTTTTTAGGTATTTTGACCAGATAAGTATGCATATCGATAACCACACCACACCACGCACTGCGGAATAATGAGACGATTCACGCAGTTATTGGTAACTTTGTAAAATCCGTGCGTACCGTACCATAATTTACAACGAGTTGTACGAAAATGCATAAATGAATATTTTATGTACATTGTTTAAAGTGCTTAAAGTACATTGTTTCCATAATTTTTGTTAAATTCAGTATTTTGATACATACCTGTTCACTTTCATTCATTTGAGTGATTATGATGGTGAATTAAAATGAATTTCCTGTGATTTGAATGAAAATGATTGAAAGATTCCGTCATTTCAGATGAATAACTGTGAATGAAAGATTTCTCACTCATTTCATTTTTCACCCTATGCTTAATACATGGGGCTAAGTAAGAAATGAAGTCCGATGAAGTGAAATGAAGTGAATTTGAACGAAAATTACTGAATGTGAATGAAAATCTTCGGTCAGAAATGACTGACTTTTGAATGAAAACTAAATTTTTGAACAGGTATGGTTTGATAGCGATAAAGAGTTAATTTATTCAGGAAACCGGTATGTAGATTTTCGTCCTTTTGTGGGTGTAGCACACCCCTAGAAATGCAAATCCTGGGAAGAACCCAGCTCAAAATTTTTGACAAACTCTTCTCCTTATTAATTATTTCATGTCAAAATGCATGTTATTGTCCCCGCAGAAGGAGTTGCGCGGCTGGTGGTGGTCCTTCTATGGAGGAAAGTTTGTGCCCACCTCGATGCAGGCAGGCGGAGAGTGTGTCGCAGTTCGTCGTCGTATCTAATTCCGGAATTCTGGAGACATTTGACTCCTTCCACTTTCATTTATTTTATTACCTTTTCAAAACCCTCGAGTAATCTGGGCGACGCCGGCTTCTTCTTCGCCCTCCACTTATCCACACGTCGTCCTACTCCTTATCGCGAACCACCACTTTTATTCAGGCTCCGCGGAAGCGTTGGTGGGGACAGGGGGACAATGTCCCCAGGGTTGTTCGAGGTTCGCATCATCTGCACATTATATACACTTGATTTCCTCTTTTATTCTACAACGGCAATGTCCCCACGGCTTCCGCGGCCACTGCTTTCCTTCGCATATTCCTTTGTTATGCAGTTTCGGAACCAGTGGCCGCGGAAGTGTGGGGACATTAAGATTGCAGGATAGGGGTTTATGAATGGGGAGATAATGCGGACATCGAACAACTGTATGGGGACATTGTCCCTCTGTCCCCTCACCCTTCCGCGGCGCCTGGGAAGAGGACTTTCCTAAAAGAAGAAAGATGGTTCAGTGGCGGCGGAAGCCGTGGGGAAATCTCGGGACAGTAACATTACAAGATAGGGAATTGGAGCGGTTTATATAAGATGATACGGACATCGAACGACCATGGGGACATTGTCCCTCTATTTGTCCCCACGCTTCCTTCCGCGGCCACTGGTCCTTTGTTGTGCAGTTTCGTAACGTACGGATCCCCTTCATTTCACCCGGAGAGAGCTGTCAATAATAAATAATCAGGACAATGCGTGGTCATAATTTTAAGCGTCATCACGGCGAATCTGGGAGATTTATTGGGATCAAGATAATAAAATTTGGATATTGTGCGGAAAAAGGATGAAATGATAATATTGGCAATATTTTGCAAATCATCAGATTGTCTTTTGCACGCAGGG